AACATGGTTGAACTGTAGCGAAAAATAACTATATTTTAAATCAATTAATTTATAATATATATATATATATATATATATATATATATATATATATATATATTTTTTTTTTTGCTTTCAAATGATTTCATTTTTGGGAAAGTAAAAGCGTATTTTCTGTTCATTATAATTCCTGCATTCATATCGTTTTTAATCTGCACATTAATCTAAAGCACAAACTTACGTAGTTACATCAAATAATCCGTAGCCCAGTCATGAAAAAAGTATTTCTTTTACACAACAGATATTTATTTTTCAGCATAAACCACTTCCTTGTCAATGCGCTTAAACCATCACTTTATCATGCGATTACATTGATAGAATATTACGCTTGAAATTTCTGATCAACTATCAGTTAATAACACTGACTGGCTATGGACTTAATGTTCAACCCTCGAAGATAAAAATAAAAAATTAATATAAAGACATTTTTTAACATTTCACCCGAAGGAAGGCAATAAAGTCACTAAGACGCAAGGGGTTAGTGAGTATTAGAGAACATGAAAGAAGAAAAATACTATAAGGAGGAAGGTCAATAAAAGAATAAGAATTAAGAAAACAGAAGATAACGATTGACATTGCATTTAATTTTTTTGAAGAACAAAGTTTACTGGGAAGCAAGATGCCAGAAGAGAGTTCTGCAAGGGTAATAAAAGAAACTGTAAGCATAGAACTAACAATTACATCTTGCCATTTAAGCTTTCCCTTATCTTTTCAAATTCAATCTTATATTAACGTCTTTGATGAAGACGACTATCCTAGACGCTATCATATCATAACTTCAAGATTGTTATATAGGAATAAAGTGTTGATGCCGACACTTGAGTTTGAACATAGATCGTCAGAGAGCAAACACAGGCGATCCTATAATTGAATTAAGAAGATCACGTGACCATAGAGGAAACGCATATATAGGATGTCGGGTGACGTCTAAATGATCGGTATTTCTATTCCGTCCTCTATTAATATATGGAATACTTTTCTCTACTCTATTCACTATACTATTTCTCTTTTTGGATCACTATACGAATTACTGTTCGAGCAAGTATTATCGAGAAAGTACTATTAGTGTGAGTGCTATTAGAAGGCATATTGTTTAACGGAGCTACTATAGTTGTATCTGCGATTACAAAGTCTCTACTATAACAATCATTACGAAAGTAACAACGAGTATTCGTTGACATCACAAAAGTGGCAATGAGTGTTTGTTGACATCACAAAAAAGATTTTGCATTATTATGGTTTGGTTTGTTTTGTTTTACGGCATATCAACCTCAATGGGTTATTTAATTTTCGACAAAGTTTTTATTGCTGGTAATTTTTTTTTCAAATATATATAGCTAGTAATTTTTTTTTCAAAAATGTATTGCTGGTAATTTTTTTTTTTTAATTTATTGCTGGTCATAATTTTTTACAAAGTACTTCTGGTATTAAAACTTATGTTTACACTTTCATAGTGTCTTGACCCCAGTTTGGGGATTAACTATTTATCCATAGTTGGGACCCTGACAAGTGCTATCACCTTGGGTCAAGGTGGAACTTGGAACATCAACAATTAAGAGATGGTTCCACACTCCTCAAAACCTCCTGATCTGCGGTTGGACGCAGTTTATCTTTTTTACCCAGGACGCGGATGTAGTTTATCGTCTTAACCAGGACAGCATTATTATGAAATTGTTTTCAAGAAATCATTAGTTTTATATAGTACAACGATCCATCGTTTAAAAAAAAGTGATAAGTCTGCGGTGAACCGTACTACTTTATAATAAAATCGCTTCCACAAGTCAATAGAGAACGGTAATAGTTATATTAATCGTTTCCATTTAAGAAGCATTTACCATTCATACATCGAAGCCTTAGCGAAACTGTCGGTTGAGGCTTATAAGATCTTTTTTTTTTTCTTAAAATGTTTTTTCAAGAAAATAGGTCTCTCAGGTCCATGGCAGTTTTCTTCCGAAGCTTTTACTTAAGCTGATAGGAAGAGTTAACATCATGATTCTATTATTATTTTCCCCTCGAGTTACATGTCCTACGAAATTTAGTTATTGTCATTCGAAGTCTTCAGGTGATGTAATTTTTGTTATATGGTAAAGCTCTTTGTTTGCGATTTTGTTGCGCCATTATATAGGGTCTAATGAAAGACTTTAAATCTAACTGATTGATTCACTTGAAGCCATTTTTAGTCATTGATCTGAGAAAGGGGTTCCATATAGTTGATAGTTTGGACATTTCTGAACGAGTTGGACACCATACATGACATCCGTACCAGCTGATTTAAATATATAACTCAAGTAATCAGGTTAATATTTGAATGGATAACCGTTTGAAGTCTGATATATTTTAGAAGCTTTCTAACACTTCCTGAATGATCAAAATCACACGTCTGCCTCGTGGTTAAAGTAATTCTGTATTTCCTATCAGCCACAGAGGTCAAAACTAAGTAAAAAATAAATTTTGAATTTTGATTTATCTAAGCAGTTAACCTAGCCCATTTGAAAGTTTACCCTAACAAAATCTCTTTAGTACTGTTTTCCTTTGTATTTCGCTCTTGTCGAACTGATCTTGCTTTACTAGTTATCAAAAGGCTCGCTTGGGTCGATTAGCTTAATAGACATAAAATAGATGCTGTTTAAATCTAACTTCAAATGATTTCAGACTTGAATCTACAGAGGTAAATGAGATAAAATAAGAGTTCTAAATGAAAAAAAATAATTAATGGTTAGCTGTTAGTTTCTGCGAACACCCGTGTAAAAGGATGACTAATATTTTGTTTCAGGTGCCTAATCAGTTATATTTCTGTTTTTTCAACACCCGCAGAACCAGCCAAATTGCTGAGTGAACCCTAGTTAGTTTTGGGGAGGGGACTCACTATGTGACTTGATATGTATTTGAATAAAGCCAGTACGCTCAAGTCTTCGGTGAAGATGATCTGTGACTCCGTGTTCACACAACCACCGTCAGCGTCCAAACGTCCACTCTGTATCACTCTCAAGGCAGGGGTAAATATGTAGTATAATTTTCAAACGCTTTGCATCTGTAACGCACAACCGGGATCGTTTCCTCGGGCTGAAATTATAAAGAAGTCAGTCCTATGAAAGATCGACTCTGGTGATCTTCAAATCCATGTTTCATGACCGTTCTAGCGACTCAGCAACATTCCCATAGGATAGAGATGCACAATAAAATACAAGGTGTAATAAAAAAAAAAAAAAAAAAAGGCGCCTCTGTGTGAACTTATCTCGATGAGAATGTACCAGAAAAATGGATCGGGCCTGCCAGTGATAATGACAACGTACTGTTGAAATGACCACTAGGTTCACTTAACTTGACACTTTATGTTTTCTTCTATGGGGCTATGTAAAAGGACATACTTATACTTCCACCTCTACCTATAAGCCTAGAAGAATATAAGCAGAAAATCATTAAGGCCTTGGAAAATGTTACGCAAGAGAGTGTCATAAATAGTGCGTATTTTGAACATTTGTGAAGCTTTTTGAAATTGGTTATAAAATCTACATCTCTTTGAATATCTTGTTCAAAATTTGATAAATAATAAATTCTTTTGTATCTGTCTCAAGGACACATGGAACAGTGGATAAAGGCGTTAGTTAGATCCAGTGAAAGGACCCAAAGAGTGTGAGTCCAATACCTGGTTAAGGCAGTGAGAACTTGGTGAGGGGAATTAACAGGATAACTGATAACTGACATCGATTAGACATGGCATGTGGAACTAGAACAGTCTACGCCAGTGAGCGAAATAAAGGGTTCAGTTCGACATTCCAACCACCTGAAGATGGTTGGAGCGTACAACGGCTGAAACCTTGTAATAAATATGGCGACAAAGATGAGGACAATAGTCTGAATAAAGTAAATAGTGTAAATAATTCTTTTATTGGTCAAAATGAAGCCTCACTAATTTCGTTTGACTGGGACACGTAGTGGGGGGACTCTGTATTATTAGAAATCATTTGAATTAAAATTTGAACAACGTATTCTGTTCGGCTGTTCTAGAAGACACACCGATCGCAGGTTGCAAAATTGTTGCAAAGAAATCGAATATTGATTAGATACCATTTGTAGAGTGTGACATTTACTGGTCTTTAATTACTGAACACATTACTAACATGCATTGGTTTATACTGAAAAACATTAACTTGCATCGTGTGTATTTTAACAAAGTGTGTATCGTGTGTATTTTAACCAAGTGAATCATAGACAATCTTTTTTTTTTAAATAACGTTCACAATTATCCAAGCAGTATCTAAATGAGTCGACTTCAGTTACTTCGTAGAATTAATATGACTGTCTGCATATATGAGAACAAATTTATCAATCTTTTATTACTAACTGATAATTATAGTGTAACCAAGACATAAATGCTAAAATAAGCTAAAAATATGCAGTCGAGTGAATATTCCAAGAAATGGCCTGCAGGAAGGAATATTAATTCTCTACATGAAGACTTCTCAGAAAATCTATATCGAAATTATCAATAATGAAATAATTGAAGAAATTAATTATTTATGCGTTATGTTTGCCACAAATTGATTTTTTTCCACTGAAAGGAATGCATTTCCACTTGGCTGAAAAATTTAAAGCTGTTGCTTCAGATTTGCTAAAACAGTTCTAAATATAGTGTGCTCATTACTTTTCAATAGGGCAGATTTAAAATCTATACAATTGTACCCATGTCTCTTGGCTCCAGAAAAGACTGTTTTTTTACAGTTAAAGAAATAACCATTGGATATAAAATGGAAGTGGCCAAAGTAGAGATGAAGATAAGTATTAATTTCTTACAGGTGTAAGTGTTCGGTGATCGATATTAAATAAAAGACAAGAATTAATATTTTATAGAATATTTCCGTGGAAATAACGCTAGAGTAAGACAAGGTTCTTTTGTGGAAAAGATGTAGCGTAGAAATAATAAATCACCCAGAAACCTGCATTGGCGCATTTGGGCCCTATCAAGATTGAAATAGATAGATAGATAGATAGATAGATAGATAGATAGATAGATAGGAAAATACTGAGTTATCTTGCTAGCAATATTATAATTGATATATACGAATTAAAGAGAATAAGAGAGAAATAAATAGATAGATACTTGCGGATGAAAGATATATATATATCTCGAGAGAAAGAAAGATAGATATATATATATATATATATATACATATATATATATAGATAGATAGATAGATAGATAGATATATAGATGATAATGAACAGAATGATATATAGATAGATAGATAGATAGATAGATAGATAGATAGATAATAATGCGAATGAGATTTATGTATATATATATATATATATATAGATATATTGATAATGAACAGAATTAGATAGATAGATAGATAGATAGATAGATAGATAGATAGATAGATAGATAGATAGATAGATAGGAAAATACTGACCTATCTTGCTAGCAATATTATAATTGATATATATGAATTAAAGAGAATAAGAGAAATAAATAGATTGATACTTGCGGATGAAAGATATATATATATATATATATATATATATATATATATATATATATATATATATATATATATATATATATCGAGAGAAAGAAAGATAGACAGACAGATATATATATATATATATATATATACATACATACATACATACATACATACATACATACAGATAGATAGATAGATAGATAGATAGATAGATAGATAGATAATGAACAGAATATATATATATATATATATATAGATAGATAGATAGATAGATAGATAGATAATGCGAATGAGATTTATGTATATATATATATTGATAGATAATGAACAAAATGAGATAGATAGATAGATAGATAGATAGATAGATAGATAGATAGATAGATAGATAGATAGACTGGCCAGAATATAGAAACTATATAAAATGATGCAGTTGTATAAAACTGGAAGCCTTTAACCCAGTGACAATTGTAGCATCCCCATATCAAGAAAGATGCCATTCATGTCAACGTATTATTTCTTATTAAGATATCCAAGCTGAATGTTGGTTGTATGAAGAAATAAGTTACACGCCTTTCACGCCATGCTCGAATGATTCATCCTGCTGAGTTTCTAATTTTCTTACGTCATTAAGCTATACCTGTTAATTATCCCAATCACGGAATTCAACAATGTTTCTCCTTCCCTAATTATAACACCTGAATTGCCTCTCACAAATACCTAATCAGTCAAGGTAATTAAAATCACAATTTAATTTGGCAAATTAAAACAAAATCAAACAAGCATGTATATATATATATATATATATATATATATATATATATATATATATATTAGAGCCATTGATGTCTGTTGGATATATATGTATATATATATGTGTATATATATGTATATATATATATATATATATATATATATATATATATATATATACATATATATATATATATATATATATATATATATAATGACAAACAAATACTTTCTGGTTTCTGGTCGTCGAATCTGACGAGTTAATTTAATTTATTATCCCACTTGTCGTCGAAAATCCCAAAGTATTTTTCTTACACACAGTTTTGTCTTTCATTCTGATTTGAAGAATACGTGGTCAACAAATGTCAGCGAAACGCGTCGTTTATTAAGATTTTCTATATTTTCTCGAATAAATTATACATCCTACACATAATTGTGTTATCTACTATAATGTGTTATCTACTATAATATGTCTTAAATAGTATACTGTGCAAAGAATGACTCCAAATTCTGGAGACTGTTATAATAAAAGAGAAGCAGCCAACATTAAATAAAAATCTTTCTCCATCGGAGACCGAATATTGAAGCGTGTTTAAAAGAAATACATAAAAATTTAGTTTGGCGTTTATATGACACGTCACCTTGAGTGACTTGAAATTCAATCCACCGAACTTGAGATCACTGGAATTAAAAAAGAGTTGCGAAAATATACACAGAAAAATCCTTCTAAATGAATGTAGCAACATTCGAAAGTACTCGGGAAGAAAATAATATATATTTAAATATGAACATTGGAAAATTTACCGATTAAAAAAAAAAACTAATTCGGAAATTTGCAAATTTTAAATAAAAAAGGGATAGACAGATCTTGTCCATATTATTGAACCAGATATTTTTGAGATAATTATTGCTGACGAGATAAACCTCATATATATATATATATATATATATATATATATATATATATAAATATAAAATATGTGTCCTCCAACAGCAATCAAGCATGTATCCTACACCGAACCGTCATATAGCCTGATGTGCTGTACCATAATTATCGCACTTAATCCATTTCATAATATATGAAGTCATTTGTTTACGTTAAGATGCGCTTCGAGGAAAATATGGCCGTTCGAGAGAAATCGTGGGAAATTTGTAGTTTAAAAGCAGTAATTTGACATTGCTAATCACAGGCATCTTCTGTAGCTAAATTGTATAGCACGTCAGGCTACATATGATGGTTCAGCGTAGGATACATGTCCGATTCTTGTCGAGGGACACATATTTTCTGTGTAATTTTTCGAACATTCAGGTAAGTAAATGTTGTTAATATTGTTTATCATAAACAGAGCATTTGCTTAAATATTTGTATCTATAAAAAATAACGTATAAAGAATAATTATATTAAAATAATCGGTTCAGCGATGTTACATATCAAAGTAGAAATTTTGAAAATGTTCACAAAGCGCGCATATATACACACACACATCAATAATATATATATATATATATATATATATATATATATATAGGCAGAAAAAGATAAATATATATATGCGTGTGGCTGTGTTTCCGCCTGTGCGTGTGATTGTGTGTGTGCAGTCAGCGTACAATTTAGATACATTATGAATACATAAACAAAGTGAAGCATTAGACTGCACACACATACAATCACACGCACAGGCGGAAACAGAAGCACACGCATATTTATCTACTCTCTTTTCTGTTCCCATATATATATATATATATATATATATATATATAGATAGAGAGAGAGAGAGAGAGAGAGAGAGAGAGAGCGAGATTGAAATGTCTGTGTATGCGCGCCTTCCGTGTATATATATGTAAGAACATTTTCAAAACTTTTATTTTGATATATATATATATATATATATATATATATATATATATATATATATATATATATATATATATATTGTGAAATATAGCAGAAATGAAAGTCAAGTATGTTTGGTAATGTGCCCTTCTAAACTTCATATAGTTGCTTTAATTTCGGGTGAAAATAAAGACAAAATGTGTCCAACATTTGGATATTTTTTATTAAGCTGTTACTTGATCTAACCTTTCGGTTCACATCAGCCATCTTCAGATTGGTTATACGGACATTTAAACAAAGATATTCACCATCAAAAGGTGATATTTTGTCATGTTGACATAGAAGACTGGTATGCGACGATAACGGTCGCGAAATAGCAGACGCAAGTTGTAAATTCATTTCACCCGAAATTAAAGCAACCATACGATATTTAGAACGGCTTATGATCAAACATAAAAGACATTCATTATCCGTTATATTTAAAAATGTATGTTTACATAATGATCTCCTGCCCCAATACAATACATACATACATATATATATATATATATATATATATATATATATATATATATATATATATCGATAGTTAGATAGTTAGATAGAGTGAGAGAAATACAGAGGGAGAAATGAAGGATAGAGATAGAAAAAGATACACACGCACACACATATATGTTGTTGAAGATATTCGTATATTTATGGGTTAAGAGTTCTGAACATCGGGAATAGAGACTTTGTAGATACAAACATATATATATGTGTGTGTGTGTGTGTGTGTGTGTGTGTGTGTGTTTGTGTGTGTGTCCGTGTGTGTGTGTGTGTTCGTATGTTGAGAGAAAGAGTTTGATACATTGTAGAATAAATGAGTACATTTTTTTTCCTCGGAAAATCATGAAGGTTTACCGGAAGTATAGGAGACATGGATGGATGACAAATATATTTCCTGCCGAAATGGAATGTTACATTTCTCTCCTTATCTAGATTTTGGCATATCTGGAATAAATTTGGAATGTCGGTACGAGAAAAAAGGAAACTTATAAGAAAAACGAAATAAAATAAATACGTTACATAAGAAAAAAAAAAAAAGAAAGAAAGAAAGAAAGAAAGAAAGAAAGAAAGATACAAAAAAAAGAGATTTCTGCGATATCAAAGAAATATTAAAAAATAAAGAGTCAGCATATTTTATGATCTAAGGTTACTGGGTCACTGTGGCAACTGACACTTCCGTGGTGTCGGTTCCGACAGAGTTATCGAGTCTAGTCCCGTTCGCAAAGTATAATATTTGTACATACGAAAAAAAGCGGAATAGCAATATAATCTGAAAGATCTGGCGATTTCAGTTCAAATTACACATGTTAATGACAATGTTCTCACTTTCCTTTCTTTGGGATAAATCGATATTCAAACGTACGCTGTTATTGATCCTTTTTGAGTTCGATCCTCGCTGGCTATCACATGTGTCAGGAAAAGCCAACATATAGTTTTGTCATTTTTAAAAATTGCTCATGTCGTTTTAATGTCATAATTGCTAACAGAGAAGAATGATCTTTTTTATCGATTTCCCTTTAAGAATATAAAGTGAAAAATTGCCTACATATGTATTCGAGTCATGTTATGGAGTGCAATAGGTAAACGTTCAATATTCTACTCTTGCCGCAGGACAATAGAGAAATGCATGATGGGAAAAATGAGACAGAGAAAAGCGTATAAGCGATATGTGGAAGATTGAAAACACGAATAACTAAACAAATGAATCTGTCCTAAATTTATTCCTATTATACTGAGTTAGGTCATAAAAAATTGGTCAACGTCCATTATATCTCTTAAAGTTTCCCCGCTTCTCGATTTTACTCATCTCTCTCTCTCTCTCTCTCTCTCTCTCTCTTTCTCTCTCTCTCTCTCTCTTTCTCGACCTGAGGCATTAGGATCAAGTTCTGCACAAATGCATTCTTAGAGAAAGTCAGATCAAAGAAAAATCCTTAGCTTTGCTACAGAAACAACCGTTTATATCTACTAAGCCTCGTATTGCTTGAGACGTTGAACTTTTCTTAGGCATCCTGAGATTTTACGAGGTAAAATAAGAATCAAATTGTGTGTTCTTTTTGTTTGAGGTTTATAAAGGAAAGATAAGCAAAGGAACAGAAGTCAGCCTTTTCTGTAAAACTTACAAAAGATTTCGATCGGACATAACTAAAAGTTTTTAGTTATTTTCTCTGGTTCAGATGTTAGTGAATCAAATCTGATATGAATTTAGATTCAATTCAATATAAAAGAGTTTTAGCTATATTCGCCTAATACATGGCTAAAGAGGCACTCAACGTAGATGACTACTGTTGTAATCTAGGGGAAATTACTGAATAGAATAATCACACGAAGGTTGGTAATGAACGATAATACTTAGGACAAGAACAACACATACAAGATTCGCCAGACGGCGCGTAGAAGTAGTCAACTACTAGAAGTGAGTCAAGTGAATTCCACAATGAATCTCCAACTGCAGGATATCTACCAAACGCCGCATGCGGTCAGATGTGGCACAAAGTCGAATTTAATGTGGAATATCCAAGCCCGTAGGCTGAGCCAAAAATTTCCCGTAGACTCCGTATAAAACGGGGACGGGGAGCTGTTTCCCGCGACGAGACTCTGTCCTTCAACATAGCCTCGTTCGGGATCCTCTCTGACCGGAGCCAGAGAGTTTAAATAGCACAGATGGAGATGAATCTCCAACTGCAGATCAACATACTGTATTTACTACTGTATTTATGTGAATGGGGACATACCCATTATCGTCTGTAGGTATGCTACAACAACGACTGAATGAGGTTGTTGCATGTACGTAAGAGCAGGAAGTGCACATTAAAAGAATATG